ACTTGAAATGTTACAAATATCTAGGCTGCGGGTTTCGCTATCTAAGTATTTGCTATAACAGTTGACCTGATAATGGAATTTCCTAGTTAAATGCATTTATAAATAGTGGCATGCTTTTTAGCTAAAACGAAAAAGTTAGATCTATTCTTAAAAAACTATTGTGACTATCTAAAACAAATAAAATGTGGTAGGGAAGGCGGAATACAATTGTAATAATGCAATCAAATTTAAGTACATACATCGCTTTGGTATTTTTTGGTAGCCTTGACAATTGATGATGACTTTTAACTAAAACTGATCCGGACCTTTAGGAAACCATAATATTATTATAATCAGACCCAGAGCTGGCGGAATGCACTGTAATTTGTATTTATATTAAGCTCGTTTTAATTGCTTAACACATTTTTGTATAATTATTTATTAGTTCTCTGTAAAAAGAAACTTTATTTTGAAAACAAAAATACTCGTTTAAATTTTTCAAGACTTAGGAAAATGTGTGTAGAATATTATGATATTTGAGAAGAGTCTTAAATTTATGATAATATTTTGTGATTGGAATTTTGCATTTTAAGATGTCAGGAAATACTTTCAGTTTGAAAATATGAATAAAAATACGAAAGAAAACCAAATTATTATTTACGAAAATGGGTTCCAAGCTTGGGAATTTATAAGCTACTTATATGAGTCACATGATTAGAAAATTCCCAAGAAATGTGTGAGTATTAAAGCAGTTTCCTAAGTTTTTTAGCTAACTATTTGAATCCACATTGAACAACATTCATTTTCTGCTTCTCCCTTTTCTCAACAGATTGCTCTTTAAGTTGAATTCGTGTTGAATTTGTTATCTTCAAAATATATAGTACTATCAATCAATCAGCTTCAATTGGGCTGCGTTAGACAGCAAGCAATAATAAAATAATAGATATATGTACATAGTTGGCTAACAAAAGAAAAGAAAACAAAAATCAACAACAAAAATTTCTCGGCTGCTGCTTGCTTTTTTGATTTTGTTGCGCACAAATTGAAATTGAAATTAATTCGCGAGACACTTTCAATATTTCAATATCGTGAGTGCACACTTTTACGATTACGTTTAAAAGTGTAAAAACGGTTTCGTTAAAATATCTGTTATGAACAATTGATTGAACTAAATGAGCTGGTGACACACTTGTTGAGTGTCACACACACACACACACACACACACTCTCTTAACAAACCACAAAGCCATCACGAACCACTCGACGCCATTATGCTGATGAAAAAAGCCATAAAAACACTTTATATATAAATGTTTTTTTTCTTCACATTTTTACAACTTGCATATATTTTATGAAGATGAGCGACGAGACAGACGATCAGAACGGGCGACAGGTTCATTTAATAAAAATGTCATTAAAAAGGCAGCCAGAAATAAATTTCATGAAATTATTAACTCAACTATATAGTATATGACAGAAGAGCATTGATGTAATACAAGCTATAGATTGGGTTATAAATGAAATACATGCGCTGCTTTTCTTCAACACTCTGCCTACAGCTGTCGTTTTATTTGCATTTTAATGGCATTTAAAATTGTCATAAAACTGTAACAGCGTTGTGGGTCTAATTAGAACGATTATAGAAATAAAAGTGTGCTGAAATGATGTGCCAAAAACAAAACCAAATAAAAATGTTAACAAACAGAAGAAGAGAAAGGCTAGTCCAGAGATTTGAACCCGGAAAACCAGGTGTCATGCTTAAAGAAAATTTAATTTAAGACATGCAAGCGATTTGAAAACAAATTTGTCTTATTTTAGATATGGGATTTGAGAAGTTTATATCAAAGAAGTTTTGGTAGAATAAAACTATATTTCAGTAGAGAATAAAAAAATTAGAAATAGTACTATTAAAATTAAATATAAATTCGGCAAATTCATATGCAAATTATTGCCTGTCTGACCATATCTAACGCCTAGTGCCTAATTTTTATTAAAATATCATTATTTTCATGGCACACTTTTAAAACCCGCAAACTTATGTGCAAATTATTTGCCAGTCTGACCTTCTCTTTTGCCAAATCAGAGTTAGGTTTTACAAATGGTTAGGGCGGCACTATTTGCTCACTTATCCCATTTGTGTAAAGACCAAGCTTAGAAGACAAGCCCAGAAAATTAATAGAGATGTACATTTTTAAAGAACTTCAAATACTATAAACGAATATATTACTTCAGTCGTATATTTTTTATTTGTAGCTCATTTTACAGAATATTTTGTTTAATTTGTTAATTGCTGTTGTAAAAGGGTAGGAGTTGTCTTTATAATACCATAAAAATTCTTAATATATTTAACTTCAAAATAGATTGAAGAATGAATGCAGAAATTTCGAGTAGTATTGAATGATTGCTTCCCCTATATACTTGTAGTATGTTTCTATTCACTTTTCGTTTCAAATATTTTCGCCCGCATCTATTATAAGTGTATTTCATTCAAACTTTAACAATATCAATTAATGTTTGTGAAAGCAAACAAAAACGAAAGTGATAACAAACATATACATACGTACGTGTATATATAGTAGTACATACATATATAGCGGCAATACCGATCAACAAAACGTGCAACGAACTTTTGTAGATTGCTCTTGATTGCCCCTTCCAAGCACTGCAATTCCAAAGATACTGCGAGTACACACAAACGCGCTCAAAAGGTATGACCAAGCTATTAATTTAGTGACGAACAGGCCGCAACCGAAGCGGCTGACGTTGCATGTGACTGCAAGTTGTTAGTTGTTGTTGTTGCTGTTGCTGTTGCACGCTCGTCTGCAGGCGGTTAATTGGCTTAAATTAAGGTAGCGATCAAATAGCAGCAACCAGTCGAGCAATACAACAAAACAGAAACAGTTTTTATATACCTATGTACTCGAATGTTTGTATGTATGTGTGTATATACTGATATACAGATATATATACACAATGCCTGCTGCTTCTTTGAAACTCCATTTTGTTGAACCACTCGTTGGCTCACACGTCTGTGGATCCGTCCGTCCGCCCGTCCGACTGTCTTTGAGAAACACACATCGAATCGAAACCAAATCACCTTCAACGACCACATACAACAAACTTACACTGAGAAAAAAAACCTCTTGCAATGCAATATAATACTTTTCTTTCTAAAAAATATTTTCTTTTTTTTATTAAATTACTACAACTTAAATTTTTGTAATTAAGTTGTTCTTTTCGCTTAAGTAACTTATAATCTTGAATCTGAACTCAGCAAAAAGTTCGAAGAAACGCCATTAAAATTCTTCAAAGGTATTTGTATTTTGGAAATACTCGTAAGCTAGACAGACCATATTTAAAAGTTTTACTTCAACTTTTTCAACGGCTTAAGTTAAAACAAACTAAATAAATGTGCATAGACTTTTAAAAAGTTTAAATAAAACCGTTGCAATAAAAAACAAATGAGGACAATGTTAATTTAAATTGAATTTTAGTTTGGAAGATAGATAGATGATCAAAATAATGGCAAAAAAGGAAATATAAAAGAAAATCGACAAAGTTATCATGTTTCTAAATTGCAGAAAAAAATTTATACATATTTAAAAGAAGCTTTCTAAAACGGAAATATACTGAATAGAAAATAGAGCAATATTTTAAAGGAAGCTCTATAAAATAAGTTATAGTGAATACAAAAGAGAACAAGTTACAATTTTTCTCAATTTTACAAACATTACTTATTATTATTTTAAAAGTATTCTTAAAAAGTTTAATTGCACCTAAAACTGGAGCAAATTCCCCACATTTGAGGTAAAATTTTATAAATTATAGCGCAGTTATTGCTTCGAGTGTACTCACTTAGTCGACTTGCGGTTATTTACCAAGCAACTCACACACACGCACACGCACTCAGTTATTTACTTGTGCTGTGTTATGTACAGCAATTGGCTGACCCTCGTCGTCGTCATCAACGTCATCATCGTCATCGGCATCAGCATCGCCATCGCCATTGACGAACAAAGCAATCTTCAAGATACTTTTTTGTGTGTGGTTGGCGTTCACGTTCGTCGTGTTCTCCCTTTTCGCATGCTTGAACGCTTTTTTAAACTGATTAAGTCGACTCTTCAAGTTGTTGTTGTTGCCAATGGCAACGTAAACCAGTTCCACTCTTTTTCTTTTTTTTGCTTGCTTTTCGATTGGCGCATGAGATCATCGCCTTTTACGTGGAAACGTTGCGTGAAGGCAACTCAGAAAACGCCAACAAAGTACAGCCAACATGCTGGCGGTTGGTGAGGGGAAGGGCGCGGGAGCGAGGGCGAGGACGGGGCACACAGTTGATTTGCAGCAATATTAAGTTGATCTTCGGGCATAACTCTCTCACACACAATAACACGGCACGGCAGGCATGGCAGGCAAGACAGGTCCGGTATTCAGCTCCAACTTAACAAATGGCCTTCGCCTCGGTTCGTTATTCCGTTACGTTCCCTTGTGGTATTAATTTAACTCTTTGCCTGCCTTTTTATCGCCTGGCAAGATCTTCCAGTTAATTTGTTTTCATTAAAACGGTTGCTGATAATAATAATGATGACGATGATGATGATGAAGAGGTTGCTGAGAAAAATGGCGTTTTCTGGAACACATTCTTACTATGACTGCCACTGCCATTAGAGTAGCTGAAGAACTTTTCGTTTGATAAAAATTCAATTAAAATAATTGAATCTCGCTAGACTTTTACAAACTATTCCCAAGTAAATAATTTAGTAATTGAAGTAAAGTAATTGAAGTACGTCAAGGCTGTAATGCGAACAACTTAATTCTTAATCATCAAGTTATAGAAAAGTCACTGTAAGTTACCATATATTTAAAACTATTTAATCAATAACAGCCTTTATAAGCGATCTTTTTGAAACAAAAATATTCAATATTGAAACATTTCAATCAAAATGTAAAGCATACAAAGAGCTAATTAATTTCATTGCTGTTCATTTTCTAACCTATTTATATTATTTTCTTTTCATCTTGCAGTTCCCTCTCTGGCCAACAGTCTGCATCATGCACATCCAGCCCATAGCAATGCCAGTAATTCCGGCAGCCAGGAGCATGTGGAGCATGCTGCTAATGCCACAGCCTTGGCTGGTGGCGCCGATGATTATTTTGTGAAGTGTACACAATGCCACAAGCGTTTCACAGAATTCCAGGTGAGCCACAAATTCTCTACAACTCTTTTCACTTCTAACAGAAAACATTAAGTTATATTCTCGTAATAATTATTTTCATCATTTATTGATTTTCTTTTTCTTCTAACATATAATATTAAGTTCTATTCTCGTAATAATTATTTTCATCATTTTATTGATTTGGTTTCTGATTTTTTTTGCAATTCCTTCGAAATTAAATTGAGACACAGACATTTCTGATCAACTTTTTGGTTTAATATTTGTATTATTTTCGTTTTTTGCATATTAATGTAATAATTTCTGTTTTTCTTAATAATTTCAATGCTCCTTAACCATACAATTGCCAACAAAATCTGTTGCGCTCTTTTGTCCAAATAAATTGAAATCAATACTTCAACAATATTCAATGCTTGGCTTTCATTTAAATAATATCCGGCATTTTTGATCTAGCATTTCTAAAGTTCTACCCCACTTGCTCCACAGTCCTTCAGCGAGCACATTGCCAGCGAACATCCGCACGACAAACTCAATTTTGAGTCCGGTCGAGGAGCGTCTGCTGTGCGCCCCGCTCAGCCGGAGAGCGATGCCGAGGACGCTGACCAGCTGATGGACGATTGTGAGCAGCAGAGCAATGGCAGCAGCAGCCGTAAATATACAAAGTCGCCGCCCAACAACAACAACAATGAGATGGCTAAGAATCACAATAACAACAACAACCACAACAATAACAATAATAACAACAACAGCAGCAATAGCGTTCACAGTATTAACAAACAATCGCCGCTGTGCTCGCCCAACACTGTGGTGCCGCCACCGTTCACCCCCAGCGAAATGTTTGCCCAACTGCCGCCCCCACAATTGCCCGTCCATCTGCGAGCCCAGTTCATGGCCGCACTGGCCATGCAAACGGCACGCTCGGCCAGTTCGCCCAGCGGTCAGCTGCTGCCGCCCCAACTGCCCCCTCATCACCCGCACCTTAATGGCAATGGCAGCAACAGCAGCGTGGGCAGCAACTCTGCCTACGATCTGGATTTAACTACAGCGCGCTCCACCTCCAGTCCCGGCTCGACGACGGGTGATCTCAGCGGCGCCTATCCCTGTATGCAGTGCACGGCAGCCTTTCCAACGCGCGACCAACTGGAGCAGCATGAGGTGCTGCACTCGCCCACCGGACAGCAGCAGCAGACCCAGAATGTGACACAGGTGAGCAAAAATTTCACAATCGCACTATATAGAAACTTATGTTCCGTATATAGATCAAAAGACAAGAATATTGTTACCAAATTACAGTAAATAGATCGAAAAGGTGTTCTAGTTAGAAGCCAAAAGAAGAAATTTCAAAATGTCACTAGAAAGTCTACCTTAAATGTATCATCATACATAGATCAAAGAGGTGTATGGAAAAGCCGGAAGAAGCATTTCATAACTCTATACATGCCTTTACAAGCTAATGAGAGTATGTATTTAATTTCCTTCAAATTGCTAGCTTACTCTTAGTCCAGCAATTGAATAAAAAGAAAATAACAGCATTTGTTTTGCACATACTTGTATTTGTGTCAAAAAATGTGAAATTAAATGTGGTTAATAGTTTTCCCAACATTCGCAACAAAAAACAATGCACAATTACTCCAAAATTTCTTCATGAAGTGAACAATTTAAAGCGATTAAATGAACGGGAGCCGAGTGGAGCTTTTATAGAGAATTTCAAAATTCAGGCTTTAACAAATTTGGTATTTCTATGCCTATGTCGTTTACTATTATTCCATTTTCATCAAATTTTAAACATTACAATTAAATTGTTCTTCTTCTTCTGATCGATTTACGAGTTCGCCTTTTCCATTACATGGCCGTTGCAATGGCCACGTCGCAACGTTGCAAGTTGATAAAATACCAGAAATGTATTTTTATATAAACGCAGCACTTGTTTCTGTTCTCTCTTTTTATCACTCGTGTTAAAGTTCATAATCGTAAATAACAAGCGGCTGTTACTCATACGACATGCTGTCCCACTCACACTCACATTAGTGTGGTGGCCAGTTGCGTCGCTTACCGTTACGCGTGCTGAGAAGCACACGCACACACACAGGCACGGAGCAAAGGCTTCGTTGTTCGCACGACGGCGGAGTCAGTTCGAGTCGAGTTCAGTCTCGAAGACTTGGTACTGATTGTGCACACGCAGCTCTTTTTTTCTCTCTTTTGTTGGACTTGAAATGATCTTTGCACAGCTCAAAACACAAAGCGTGGGCTTTGTTGGAGACTCGGGTGTTCGGTGCCTTGTACTTTTTCTTTTCTTTATACACTTTGGGCAGGCGGCATAAAAGGGGAAATGACGATAACAACGATAACAAAAATGGCCGTGCGCAGCAACAAAACAACCTTATAAATGTGCCCACGTTTCCTGTTGGCAAAACAAAAAATAATACAAAGTACATACAGATTTATATGTATGTATATATATAGTATAAAAAATACAAGTAATTAAGATAAAAAACAAGAACTGAATTCTGATAATTCCAATTTGATTGAAATGCATTGCAGCTTTGGCAATGGACATTTTTTAAGCATGTCGGTCGGGGTTTACTTATAGTTTTTTTATTTTGCCTTTAAAAGATTACTTTGCCTTTGTTGGTAGAGCAGTAAGATATTGGCTAACTTTACAACAATGTTCCTCTTCTTCTGTCTAAGTCAGTGAAGAAAGTTGCGAGCCTTACACGTTTCTGTGTTTCTTTTCTAAGATACTTAAGCCAATAAATACAATTTATTTTAAACGTTATGGGTGGAAACTTGTTAGTATAAAATTGATGAAAATGTCATTTGTTGTTAACAAAATATCAACAGATATTAGGTTATTAACGCCCCCTTAAAGAGTTCACTGAGCATGTCGATAAATTGTTGCTTGCACATAAAATGTAAAAAATTTAACAAAGTTGTAGCCCATTTTAATAACTAATGGAAGACTTTGTTTTGACTAGAATGGATTTGTTTTATAAATTTCTTGGTAACTGGTAACGCAAACAAAAAATGTTCTAGTTTATTTATTATTTTATCAGCAGCCACACACAACAACAACAAGCTCAATAAACTATGATAAGAAACACCGTCACGCTATCGTTGGAAGAAAGAAAAACCCACACTCACACTCGGGGCATAAAATAAAACGTAGGCGTTTACCAAACTATGCAACAACAACGACAATGGGGTCTATAATAAAAAAAAGAAGCATAGTCAAGTCGAGTCGAGTGCTGATGACGCGCCACAAAATAGAAAACGGGAAAAAAGTAGGAGAAATAAGAAGAAGTAAAAGAATATTATCAGGGGAGAGAACACAAGTTGGCCTTAACGCACGTGTGCGAGTGAGATGGCAGGCATGAATGCCCGCCCGTCATTTAACGGTAGGCCTACGACCTATCATAAAGTGTGTGTAAGGCACACATACATATATGCCTGTCAGTCACAGCCATAACTCCCAATTGTGCAGTTGTTGTTGTTGTTGTTGCTGTTGTAGCCAGTTCGTTGTTTCTTCGTCTTAACGGCGCACTGCCTGCTTGATAAGGTATTAAAATAAATGTTACTACAGGCGGCAGCTGATAACACACACACACACACATATGTATACAGATATGTAGCACCATAAGGCCTAACACTTACCTACTATATCTTATTGTTGTTGCTGTTCAGTATTTTCTCCTCATCTCTTACTTGGCTCCAGACAAGAACATAAAAAAAAAGAATAAGAAAAAACGAAAAAAAATGCCTGCCCTGGTCCAAGTTTCTTGATAAGCGGCGCCCTCATGTGTGTTCGAGTTTCCACCTTTCTCCTTCTTTTGATTTTACGGCCGCCCTGTGGCTATTAAAGCCACATAAATTATAATTTTGTTGCAGCCACCACCTGCCCCACCACCCTCTGCAACGTTTTTTGGCCACCCCTCGAGCCAGGAGCATATAAATTCATATCGCTAGTTTTCGCTTACCTACGAAATGTTATGAAAAAGTTGCATAACAACGGACTATGCAGCTCTCATATGATGGTTGCCTACACTTGGCGAAATTGGTTTGGAATTCTAAAGTGAAAATGTAATATGATTACATTTTGAATACAACATAAAATGTATTATAATTATTGTTACGTTATAATATTAGGTTCATTCTATATCTGGTTTCAGTCGAGTTGGAATAAACAAAGGCGTTAGAGAGTTATGTTTGTTATCAAGAAAATACATTTCTCTGGAACCACTTTGTCGGAATAACGAATTCTTTGGTCATGGCTTTGCCTCTGAAATAGTTACTGTTTTTAAATCGACAATTTTACGCAAAATTTTACATTTAATGGCAGCTCGTTACTAAATTATAGCTATATTTTCGTTCAGTGTCCAGCTTTGTGCTACTTTTCTCCTCTATTTGTATTTTTTTGCGATGTCTGCTTGCCTGACGTTATTAATATTTACCTAAGCTGCCCCGTTCGCCGACGCTTTATCAAAAAGCTAATAAAGTTGAACAAACTGCATGCATGAAAAGCGTAGGAGCCCGTTTATGCCACACTTTGCAATCCTTTTGCTCATTTTGGTTGCCTCACTTCGAGTCGCATTTGGTGTGGGTTTTCGTTCGCTTTGCGCACGAAATAATTTACTGCTTTGTTAATGACATTTAAACATTTAAACATATGCAAAAGCCAAAATGGCAACACACGCTTGACACATGCCATGGTTTTGGCTATTGTTGTTGTTGCAACACTTGCAACAAATATTGCAATATAATTGATTTATTTAATATTGTTGTTTTAACATTTCAATGGGGAAGGAGGCGGCGAGTTTCGTGCTTACACGTGTATTAAATTATTATGTGTGGAAACAATTAATTATGCTGCAAAAAAATGACAACAGCAACAACAACAAAGAGGCGAGAAACATATGCTACAAGAAAAACAACAACTTTGGGCTTTTTGCTCATTAAAAAAAAAAAGCAGAAAAAATCACGCACAAAAGTAGGCAATGCGAAATTTTTTGCATTATTATTGAAAATTCATTAAATTGATTACATGTGGGTGGCGGAGTGGGAAGGGGGCCTTTTGGCCGCAAGTTGCGACATGGTGTGGCCAATACGTTGACAACTTTTACATTTGTCGTTAAGGTCAACATCATTAACAGCAGAAAATGGGCGCACAAATGGGTTTGAGGCCATTATAATGGCCAACACATAAATTATTGGACAAACTCAAATGTAAACTTTCAACGGGCATAAATTTTTGTGTGGAGTCTAGCAACAAAAAACAATAGCAGCAGCCAGCAAACGAAAAAGTGCAGCAAATCAATATTTGCTTAACTGCTATGCAGGCAAAAATACAGCCATTACAGGAGGATATGGATAGTAGTTTGTGGAATCTAATAGAACTAGCTGCATGAGCTAGTTCGTCAATATTCCTTCGTATAAATAAAATAAATTAATTGTCACGTTTATTTAACCAATTTAATGATTGTCCATAAAAACTCTGCTAATACAAAAAAAAAATGTTCGTTTGTTTCACTCCATTGATAATGAACTAAATAATAAACTAGACATTTTGCTAGTTTGTATAAAGTATTAAAAGCAGTGTTTTGTTGAGCTGCATTTGTAATCAGCAGAGATATTTCTTGATTTACAATAAATTAATTATTTAATTAACATTCATCAAAGTGCTTCACCAAAAGTTAGATTGAAAGGAAAACATTTCTTTCTTACCAAATATGAACCATTATCTTTCTTCTAATATCTAAGTTTAATTTATATTGAATTGTAATGGACAGTCAAACTTCTGACTAGCATTTTTCTTATAAATATCGGAAATGGTTCAATTTTTTCAAATATTTTTTAAAACATTAGTTAAGTCCTTTGGTAAAATTCTTATTCAATTCAATATATGTATTTAATGTAATTCATTTTATACTTCTAACTACTTATTACACACAATCCAATAACTTGTACAAGTATATTCAAATTTTAACAAATCCACAAAGCTCCCGAATAAACTTTTAAAGACTATACGCTTTTATTATCTGTTAAGAGATTTCCTCATTTATATAGCTTTTTGAAAATATTTTTAAAATGAAATCCAAGATTTAACAGATTTTCTGGTTCTCTGTCGGACAACTCTAGCACACATTTGTTTGGGCAAAAACTCTTTTAAGCTTTCTGGCCACAATTCATTTGCCAGTCGCTGCGCTAAAAGT